AAAAGCACAGTAGGTAGCTCAGGGGTGATAAAACGCCGCACCTTGTTCAGGACTTCTGAGTTTGCGTGGGGCTGCTTATATCACGCTTTCGATGCAATTTTTTGGATTTTAAGTAAGACGAACTTCTACATCAAGTATGGTGATATTGCTGTGTAACATAGCGCCCGCCAGTGAGCTGCCCTGAAAAGAAGGAAGGGGAAGGAAAGTTTTGCCGTGAAAGTGAGGACCAGGGTTTTTTAAGATCAAACTCAACCAAGTTCTTGGTACCCCGTTAGATATAATGTTGTGCCTGATTAAGCTAAAATGACAAGATTCTCCTGTTACTTCTTGGTTTCTACCCATCCAGCCGTTGCGTATCGGAAATATCCAGCATGCACTGTACTAGTATGGTCCGTAGCAATGAATATTCCTAAGAAGAATTAAAACATTGATAATACTGATATGCAGCAGAAAAGAATTAGGAGATGGAACGGAATAAATTTTAAATCATAATTGAAGCGCCAGGGTAAAATGATGCAGATTTGGAACGCAGCCCTATGTTCAACGTTTTCCACCAACTATGCACGCATTTCTAAGGCTATTTTACGATTTTATTTTTAGTGGGATATTAGCAGTATATAATTTAATAGATTGAAATACGACTTTCATTTAGGAAGTCAGGCACCCAGGATAGTACGAGAGCCGAAGATAGGACTTCCTTCGCTCCTTTATAAAATAATATTTATTTTAATGTATATTTTGATAGTAAGCAAATCGGTGCAATCACCTATATTAAGTTACTTGATCATACCTGCTTACCAGGGGGCCAATCGCCTAACTGGATTGCTTTGGAAAACGCTATCGCTTACGATTTCATTTTGTTCTTTCTAGCCGCCTGAGGTTTTCAAATGCCTCGCGCTCTTTTTTTTTCTTTTGCATTGGTAATAACAATGTTAAAGAAAATGAGCGTGAGGTATTTCGGCGGTTAGAAATAACAAAATGAAATCGTAAGCGATAGCGTTTTCCAAAGCAATCCAGTTAGGCGATTGGCCCCCAGGTAGTAGTGAACAGAATACTACGGCAACACTACCTTTTGCATTTTCCTTTTGAAGCATAATTTTTATTTATAATAATAATTTCCGGTAAACACATGAATGAAACATGAACAAAAAAATTACTCAGTTTACTAAATTAATAAAAATAGTTGTAAAAATTTTTTGGCAGGCAAGTCATTGCGATTTGTTTTTTTCTGTTAAATACTTGATAACACATACTTTTCGTCTGGTAATAGTACAGTCAATCTGTCGAAAAAAATATCGTTTGAGTGAAAAAAAAACCTAAAGGGTAAGTCTTGTTTTTTCTGTTGCCAAATGACGTCAGTAAGCCACCTTGGCGATGGGCATGTTCAACTCGTAGGCGTTTTTTGAAAAACTCAAAAAAACCCTAAAAAAATTTTTAAACCGCATTTTTCTTGTTTTGTATGCATTTTAAAAACTTTTTTTCCGACCATAATTGTAGAGGGCGTTGAGTACTACAATTTATGTCATTGTTGCAATCTCGTACAACCAAAAATGCGCATTGTAGGTGGCGCTATAGTCTCAAAAAAGTGTTTTTTCACTTTTTCATCCTGAAAATATAATTTTAATGGAAAACTTTAAATGGAAAAGTTATTCCGTACATAATTACCAACAACTTTTGTATAAACATTTTTTTTTTATATTACTTACCGTTTTCAAGTTATAAATTGCGCAGGTATGAAAAATCCAACAGAGCGGTTTTTGGGTAGTTCAAGTACACATTTGCAGTGCACATTTCAATGTACATTTTTACAATATTTTTTTTCAATCATGAAAAAAAATCTTTAACTTTTGTATAAACATTTTTTTTTGTATATTACTTACCGTTTTCAAGTTACAAATTGCGCAGGTATGAAAAATCCAATAGAGCGGTTTTTGGGCAGGTCAAGTACACATTTGCAGTGCACATTTCAATGTACGTTTATACTATTTTTTCTTTCAATCATGAAAAAAAATAAAAAATGGTATAACGTACATTGAAATGTGCACTGCAAATGTGTACTTGAACTGCCCAAAACCGCTCTATTGGATTTTTCATACCTGCGCAATTTATAACTTGAAAACGGTAAGTAATACAAAAAAATTGTTTATACAAAAGTTGTTGGTAATTATGTACGGAACAACTTTTCCATTTAAAATTTTCCATTAAAATTATATTTTCTGGGTCAAAAAGTGAAAAAACACTTTTTTGAGACTATAGCGCCACCTACAATGCGCATTTTTGGTTGTACGAGATTGCAACAATGACATAAATTGTAGTACTCAACGCCCTCTACAATTATGGTCGGAAAAAAAGTTTCTAAAATGCATACAAAACAAGAAAAATGCGTTTCAAAAAGTTTTTGAGGGTTTTTTTGAGTTTTTCAAAAAACGCCTACGAGTTGAACATGCCCATCGCCAAGGTGGCTTACTGACGTCATTTGGCAACAGAAAAAACAAGACTAACCCTTTAGGTTTTTTTTTTCACCACTCAACCTACAGATTGACTGTACTATAAGCAGATGGACGAAGGAAGACCTCTCTTCGGATCTTAAACTAGGACTGCTGGAAGCTTGGAGAGAAGACCAAAAGAGAAGGACTGAGAGATAGCCAATGACTCGATTCGATCGTCGATAGCCTCACCCCAGATGCGAGTCATATGTTACGCTAAAAAATCACTTCGATCGTATCGTTCATATATTAATGATCAAATAGCGTCATTCTCTAGATTGGTACAAGCGCTCACGCACGGAAGACGACTTCACTGCACATTATTTAGCACAACTGCTGGTAGGTATGCCATCGGTTAGCCACTAGCTTTCCGGACGTCGAGTGATTGTAATTCCGCACAAACCACATGCTGTATGATTTTAATATCAAGGATCGTAGCGCCACAATGAGGTAATGACAGTGGCAATGCGTTGCAATTATCGATTCGGGAATTATCCGCAACGAGTTTTGCCAGTAAATCATTTCTCCTGTGGCTTATGTGCCTTCTCAGAGGACATCTCAGAGGCGGCAGCGAGGGCTAGCAGAAGTAGTTCTCCACGGCCTTGGCCAAACGCTAATAACTACGGGAGCCCGTAGGATGCGTTATCATATTATCCTATTCCCATTACTATCTCCTCAATAATAGCAACAACGGCGCAGGCCACTTGGTCGGCAGGAAAACCGCATGTTTTTTTGTACGAAGAATTGTTCCGTTTTTTTACCGCAGTGAGCGCCATTTCATCTATGACGTTTTATACATGATTTAATATTCGTGTGTCTACTGCTGCAAAAAAACCGCGCGGCCGAATTGTCTCAAGGTCACACACGGTCTTACGTATTATTTATTAAATCAAACTATCATTGCTTCAATCTACTCTACGTATATACGTCAACATCAGCCAAACTGAGCACAAAGTTGAATAAATTATTTTGACCCGAAACAACGGCAGTTATGTAAAATTCAACTTTCATCACTGTTCAATTCAATTTTTGGTGATTTGGCGTCTCATTACGTGACGATTCTGCCAATGTCTGGGTTCATCACTGTTTCTCAGTCTGATAATGACTGTCAGTATTACAAGTTTATGTCATTCGTTATTACTATTATACACAGACTGTGGTTTTTGCTGAACTAGTTACAACTCTGACTTGTTTTTTGTCTAATTTATTTATTTTTATTTTAACAATTATTATGTCCACATTATATAAAATTGGTTCCTCATAAAACTTACTTTTTAACCCTTCTTTAATATATACTTGAAGATATGAAGGCAGTGCAGGCATTAAAACAGGTAATCGGTTTATGTGTGATACTGATAACAGAATAAGCAAACAATTTTTACTTTTTATGATATTCTAATGATGATGACTTAATAATTTCGTGTGTTTAGTGTGGATTTTAGCAAGGAATATTTATATACAAAACTGGCACAAAATGAACTTTGGAATGCCAAAATGGCTTCACTCTATTTACTTTATCAATTTGCTTATCCATACTAATTATATTAATGCAAAAGTATATCTGTGTGTCTGTTACCTCTTCAAGCTAAAACTGCTGAACTGATGAAATTTGGTAGACATAGATTGAGTAAGGAGGAAGGACATAGTTTTCCCAGAAATCATCTTTGAATGTGGTGAAAAGGGGGGTGGGACTTAGTATGGGAAACCAAGTTTTCCATGCAGACAAAATCATGGGATCTCACTAGTACTTACTATATTCTGAAAGCAAAAATTTAATTTAATTTTAAGCATTATGCGAAAGCCATTTACTCGAAATCATGTCAGAGCTTTAACACCGGAATTTTCACACAATGGTGAAAATTTCAGAGGGTTCCTATTTAAATTCAATGGATTGGATGCACATTAATGGGATTCTATTGATCACCCATTGGGTACATTTTTTTTTACCAATAATATACATACAACACCACCAAAAGGGTAATGCTATTTCATTTGTCATGGTCTTGTATAAGGTGAAGGCTACTTCCTCAGATAAGCACTCCGATCCGAGTGGGAGATCCTTGATGCATCACCTCTCATAAGTTCATTCAAAATAAATATAATCCAATTAATAATGTATTCTATGTTTTATTTGATCAGTCGATATTATATTTTTGAAAGTATTATATTAGAATACTAAAAATATGAAAATATTTTTAATAGGCTTTATTTATTAATGTATTATGATTAATGAAATTTATTTTTATAGTAGGTTGCCCTTGTGGCAGCAATGTGAGCAGTGGTGTTAATTAATAGTTTACTGTGGTTGCCTGACATTTGTACAATTGTTTTCAATTATCAAATTGATTAAGTATGTGCAACAAATGAAGGATTGTCTATATTAAAAAAACCTATCCCAAGCAAATTTATGGGGCTACATCTGTCACTTGAATTCTCTATGTTGTTACAGTGTTTATAAATGTCTGAAATGGTCACAACAAACTAAGAAAAAATCAAAATAATGAAATTACTTACTTGTATAAATGACAAATAGTTCTGGCCAGGCCATTGCCAGATCCACAAGGCAATATCGCTAGATGAACCTCTGCTAAGGCCTGCTGCCAATCAAGCCTTTCAAACATGCCATTTAGAACCTCGAACAGCACTCCATCGCCGCCTACAGCGACAATGCCTTTCCACGCATACACATTTCTAGTACGCACAAACTCTCGTGCAAATTGCGCATATTTCGTCACGTGAAGCTCGTAAGGTACCTCTGCTTCCTGAAGCAATGGTGCTACTTTAGTCTGGAACAATTCCCTAGCTTTTCCTTTTCCTGACTTAGGATTTAAAAGAATCAACAATTTTTTGTCGTTCAGAGGCGGCATGTTCGCGATTGTCTGACCGCTGATCAAACATTTCAAAGTCGTTCTCCACTTTTGTGCTTCTTTATTGTTATCCTCGTATTTATCAAAGGATCTAAAACGCAAAGTTATTGTGGTCCTCTCTCTTTTCAAATTACGACGGCTGTGTTTCAGTATGTATGCGTAAATGTAGAGATAAGCACTGATATCATTCTCATCCAGATCGCCACTGTTTTCATCGACCACTTTTAGCTGCTGGCTGCCCACAAGTGAACTACACACACAAGAACTGGCTCCAGGGCGACGTCTTTTGCTTCTCATGCACTTACTTCCGATTATATCTCCTAGCAAAATAGTCTGTTCTTTTGAATTGCCCTCGGTTTCTTTTGTTAAAGATAATCCTTTGGATGTGAGCCGGACACGAAACACTGAGTTCTTTTTTGATAAGATATAGAATGTTTCTTCCAAATAAACATGTTCTTTCGAATCGGGATGCCCGTCACCCAAAATATCCAGCACGTCCTTACAGCGCTGTAAATCCGCCATGACTGTGGACTGAATGAATGATGTGAATGATTTGTGAATGCTTGACTGACAGATTGACTAAAGCCGGAAATTTAATGCGGGATTTACACTACCAAATTTTAAGTGATCCTTACCCTGACTAAGGGTGGTGTAATGAGTTAGAGAGTAAGGGACCCAATCTAGAGCGATTGGTGCGATGTTATAATTGCTTGTTCTACTTGGGGGCTACGCCCACCCTTTCGATTTGGCCCTTAAAATTAGGAAGTGTAAATCCCGTTTAAGGATCGCTCTTATTATGACGAGCCGCAGCGAGGCGGAGTGGGCCGCAGAGAGGGACAAAGCGGGCTACAGCAGGGCTGAGAGAGCCGCAGCGCATCGCAAAATATTATTAACGAGCTGGGCGCATTGACATATTTAGGGTACAGTTAAACTGGGATATGTTTAAAACCTACGGTCTGAGTGCATACTTTTTACCTAACTTTAAAATTTTGTTGTATTTTAGAACAAAAGTGAAATGTCAGGTTACACGGGCTTTACACTACCCAATTTTAAGGGCCCCTAGCTAGGGTGATAGTAATTTTACACTACGCCGGTCACCCTCGATTGGGTCCTTTAATCCATAACTCACATCACATCACCCTTAGTCAGAGTAAATGTCTCTTAAAATTAGGTAGTGTAAATCCCGCATCAAAAAGTTTCACTCTGGTCGTACGTTTTGAATGCAATGCGCTAGCATCATTTTTTATCCCCTCCACGTTCCCACGCCGATCTGGCGCGACAGATAGAGATGGACGTTTTTAGATATTTGTGATATCGATACGCATCGATATCAGATAAATGGCATCCGATGCCGGCATCGCATCGATGCCAAGTGAATATCAGTATCATAGTATCACAGGATGTGATGCGATACGGATTACGACAGATGCGTGTTTAGGGTAACGTTGACAAAAACTAGATGGCATCGGCATCCAATAACGGTACCCAGTCGCATCGGATGCGCGCATCCAAACCTGGCACCGTTATCATGTTCACGGATCATTATTCTAAAAACGCCCACCCCGTGAAATGTGGATAGATGCATGTTTTGTGTAATTCATGAATCATGACTTGAAAATGCAAACGAAACCATATATTTATTTTCGGCATAGTAACTGAAAATATTAAATGTTGGCAAAATTATTACCTGAAAAGTTGCACTCAGAGCGTTGGTTTTGAACGCAGACCAGTGTCACAAACTTTTCTGTGCCAGTGGCAAAAATTTGAACTACAATTTATTAAATTTAAATAACATTTTGTTTTGACATATTTGTTCACCGCTAGCGGCATCTCCACCAGCACAGATAAGTTTGTGGCACTGTAGCTAAAGTAACGTTGACAAAAACTAGATGGCATCGGCGTCCGATAACGGTAAGAAATCCGATAATCGATCTGATGCGCGCATCCAAACCTGGCATCGTTATTCTAAAATCTCCCACTCCTAGTGACAGATCGAACGAACATTGCATGGGACGCGTGCAGTGTTGTCAACTCTACGTCTTTTTACGTAGATCTACGTATTTTAGGCCTTTTCTGCATACCTACTAACTATAGTCCCAGAATCTACGCATTTTCTTTATTTTTTTCAAATTTGTAAAATAACTTTATTCGCTAGAATAAAGAAGAATATTTTCCGTTACTTTACTTAAAAACTATAAAAATGTTTATTTCTTATTAAGATGTATCTAAAAACTCTTGTATCTTGAAGAAAAGGTTCCCGTCATTGGTTTTGTTGACTAAATTAATGCTGGACGCAGGATTTCTGAAAGGAGAAACGACAAAACTCTTTGACTTAGTAGGTACATTCGTAACCTTAAAAATTGAATTTTTAAGCTTTAAATATTATTCAATGAGTACTTACATCGAATTGATGTTTGCAAAAAGAAATGACTTTCAGTTGATAAAGTTACAGGAATTAGTAAGTTTTAAACATTTTCATGTGTCAGTGTATGTATTATTTTTCTTGGCAATTTTAACCACAACTTTCTAGAGTCTTTTACCTAGTGTATTAACCAACTCTATTTTTCATGTGATCTATTAGAAATCATGGTTTAATAATACCACATGGTCATGGTCTACCACAGCATGGTAAATGCTTCCAATGCAGCGATTTCTCCAATAACTCTTTGTTCTATATGTACATTTTCAAAATAACGAACAAAGCGCGATTAGAAAGCGCGAAGTTTATTAGTTAGTAAATCGTCCCCTTAGTGCCAAAACCGATTATCTGCACTTTTCCGCTACTGAACTTTTATAATACCAATCGACCCGTGTCATTAAGCCGCATCTACAGGTAAAACCCATTATGCTCTACGACGCATACTTCCTGAAATAGCTAATGAATAAACAGAATAACTGCAAATTATTTCCAAAATTCTTGATTTAAAACCTAATAAACCCATTCAAAACACTTAAGTTGGTAAATGTATTACCGCTAAAACCAAATTTCGGATTTAAACTCATTTTTCATGTAGACACTTAGAGTAAATATCCTGTGAGTATCCTGTAATTGGCTTTGACTGTTTGAATTTTACCAGATATTTTAATTTTACTAGATGAAGTAAAAACTAACAAATCTGTCGCTTTGTGCAAAAAAGTGCATATAATATGTTTGCGTTATATTTGAGGCAAGTAAAAGAGGATAGACCGAATTGATCGACAGGTGACCTTCTAGCGTACGTGACATATATCTGAGGTGAGGCTATCAATAAGCGAGGTGAGTCTTTGGCTATCAGCCTTAACATCGCCAAGGCTTTGATAGGGTCTGGCACATAAGTCTTCTCTCCAAGCTTCCTGGATATGGTCTGCCTACTCAGTTCTGTGCCTGAGTGGCTGACTTCCTGTATGAACGTCAACGGACGGCGACGAATGTAGTTTGCAGTTCATGTCAGTGAATGCCGGTGTTTCTCAGGACTCCGTCCTATCCCCTACACTCTTTTTGCTGCATTCAATGATTTAATTCCTCTTGAGAATATTCATTGCTATGCAGACGATAATACAGTGCATGCGGGATATTTTGGATACGCAGCCGCTGGACAGGTAGAAACCAAAGAGAAACGGGAGAATCTTGTCATTGAACTCAATCAAGATTTGGACTGTATTTCGGAATGCGGTACCAAGCACTTGGTTAAGTTCATTACCAAGAAAGCCCAGGTCTGCGCTTTCACGGTAAAACTAACGTTTTTCCACGCCTGAGCAACTGTGCTTGTTGTACATAACGGAATAATGTTCGCACCCCAGAGGATGGCTCCGCCAAGTACTTTTTTGATGCTTTGGATAGGTTACAGCGGTGCGCGATCCACATCATTGGCGATAAAGAAGTGACAAAACACCTCGAGCCTCTTCAATTACGTCGTGATGTGGCGTTATTAAGCGCTTTTTATCGTCTATATCATGGCGCATGTTTTGAGAAGTTATTGTCACATAACCTACCTTCCCCTTTCCTACAGAAGTCTACACGCGCTGGCTTACGTTGTCACCGACTTACTGTGAACTACTATTCTCACTATTCCAACGTGAACAAAGAATTTTGGTAACTTATTTCTTTGTCAGACTATCCGCAAATGGATTACTTTGCCCTCTTACGTGTGTGAAGTAGCAATTCTGCAGACCGGCAAAATGAGGATAGCTGGTGTGGCAAGTAATACTGCTGTACCAGCTATCTTCGCGTCTAGACTCCTCCGTCACCTAACCTCTGGTGGAGTCATTTGTCGAACCTATTTATAAAAAAAATATCTATAGCAAAGAAAAAAGATCTTGATGATTTGTGCAACAAAGGTGTCATACCTGAAGAGTACCATGGATTATACAGATCTTTGGCTACAAAAACAAGCCAATCTGATCGTTTTCCTTCAGAAACCATTCTGGTGACTCATCATATGAAAGCAAGTCAAGTGCAGATGAATAATACTGATTTTTTTACACTTATTTAATTAGGAATACTATCGGCCGCCAACGAATTCGTCCGCTTTAACTTTAATATACATTTTTAAACTAGATATTTTAAATAGAAATACTACTGCACCCGAAATATCGAACCTACAGTATCTAGATAAATGTACATCATAAACCGAAACTATTTAATATACTCATATTGACTCAAGGATCTATCAAAACTTATGGATGTATCATTTCAGCGATACTTTCATTCCCTGGACTCTTATCGGCATTACTGTCCACCGAATCAATTGTCCCGATATCACTGAAATGATATACTTACTATTTGGCGGGAGTCCACAATGGACTCGGAATAGACTGGCTCGAAGTGAGCACTGACAAACGGGACACAACAACGCAATGTAGATGAACCTATTTCACAAAAATGATAACTTTTTCCAGGACAAAAGTTGAGTGCTTGTTACATGTATAAGGAAGAAGGTAAACAAACGGTAGTAGGTTTTGTTAATAGGCTATATTATATATTAATGATATAAAAGTTAATTTCAATCGAAAAAATAAATGTAACTACAGGGGAAGTAATTTTACGAGAGGAATTGGGTTTCAGACAGGTTCCCGTGATGATAAATGCCACTTCGTATTTTTTTATTTTATGGAATAGAGCCCATTACTCAATAATTCTTTTTGACAAGGTTGAGAAGTACCTACTTAACTAAGAAAAAAAGTCAAAATCATTTATCAGCACATTGCACTGCCGCTCTGAGCAATGCCGTGTATTTTTTTTTTTGCTTGGGGAGTTCACCTCTACATGATTCATTGGGATTTAATTAATATGTTTCGGACATTTTTTTATTACCTTTTTCATATAATAATCTTGACAAAAAAATGATTTCAATTTAATTATATGATAATGTATAAGAATATGTATTGCATATTGCAAATATATGTTTTAAATGCAAATTATACGCTGAACACGATGAAATAATAATAAATGTTAAAGTTAAATTGAAATCAATTTTTTTTATCAAGTTTATTTTTCGTTATCTTTCTTAGTGGTTATCATTTTAAACCAAATAAGCAGAATACTTCACCCAGTAATGTT